AGCAGCAAAGGTCGGACTGGTGGTGAGTGCGTCAAAAACAAAGTACATGCTAGTAGGCGGAACCGAACATGACAGGATTCGTCTAGGAAGTAATGTCACGGTAGACGGGGATACTTTCGAGGTAGTGGAGGAATTCGTTTACCTTGGATCCTTAATGACGGCTGACAACAATGTGAGTCGTGAAATACGAAGGCGCATCATCAGTGGAAGTCGTGCCTACTACGGGCTCCAGAAGAAACTACGGTCAAAAAAGATTCACCCCGGACCAAATGTACCATGTACAGAACGCTAATAAGACCGGTGGTCCTCTATGGACACGAGACATGGACTATGCTCGAGGAGGACCTGCAAGCACTCGGAGTTTTCGAGCGACGTGTGCTAAGGACGATCTTCGGCGGTGTGCAGGAGAACGGTGAGTGGCGGCGAAGAATGAACCACGAGCTCGCTGCACTCTACGGCGAACCCAGCATCCAGAAGGTGGCCAAAGCCGGAAGGATGCGGTGGGCAGGGCATGTTGCAAGAATGCCGGACAACAACCCTGCAAAGTTGGTGTTCGCTACTGATCCGGTTGGCACAAGAAGGCGTGGAGCGCAGAGAGCACGATGGGCGGACCAGGTAGAGCGTGATCTAGCGAGCATTGGGCATGACCGAGGATGGAGACTATTGTTGATTATGTCTTATCTTAAATGTGATGTTGTACAAATAAATGTATGTATGTATGTACGTCATACATATTCCGGAAGTACCCATGTTGAAGTGTATTTGGTAGTATTTCCCACTTTTTCTGAAATCGGCAGCCACCATCTTTGATTGCAAGATGGCGCTGGACATCGATTTTCGGTCTCTAGACGTCATCCCGATTCCGAAAATATACATATTGAAGGGTATTTGCTGTATTTCCCAATAATTGTTTCTGAAACCAGAGGCCGCCATCTTGGATTTCGAAATGGCGTCGGAAATCGTTATCGCAGTTTGCAAAGGAAACTTTGCCCGTCACAGAATACTAAATTACTACCATAGAGGTAACTCTAAGACCACTGGGTCCAGAAGAAAATCATTATTATTTTTGGCTCACTCAGTACCAGAACAACGGTCCCAAGCAGTCCCAAGCTATTTCACTCACCCCTGCATGTTCTGCATGAATCCACACACCCCTGATGTTATCTGTCAAACTTTCATAGCGAATCAAAACAAACATAGTGTAGTAATAGAATTTCAACTAGAATAGGGTACGTTAATCGTTTGCTTGGGACCAATAGGCTACTAAAGTGGTGAGCCAATTTAAAATCGTTAGTTTCGTATTGATTGTTGTTACTACTGCCGGACAATGGAACCAATTTTGTCAATCGGAAAATGATCCAGTTTGCCACGGAATGGTGCTTCGAACATGTAACTTCGGCATCTCGTCATCAGCAGACAAAAATGGCAAGTCGGAAACTGCAGTTAAAGTAGCAAAACAATTGTTGAAGAAAGCAGAGGACAGTGAGTTTGAGTTCTGGTATGCTCTCCTCCATTGGCGTAATATTCCAAGTTCTGTAGCACGTTTGTTCTCTCGTTCAACTCGTTGCGGCATACCAGCCAGCACCAGTCATCTGCTTCCAAAGTTTGTAGAGGATGTTCCCTCATCAATTTTTGAAGGACAACGTAAACACACAAAGCTGCATAACGATAATAAAGTTCGTAATTTGCCTGTACTGGATGGACATCGGTTCTCCAGCGTACATTCAACTGGATCCAGCATCGTCGAAATTGAATGAACGCTCGTACCTGGTGAACGTAGATGGTAATCAGTGTCGATGAAGTCTTGTGTATTTGAAGCCGCGTAAAGAACTTACCATGCAACCACATCGCTCATCGCCATCCACTCCCGTGGAAGGAGAAAATCGGAACGATTCAGGGGAAACGTGTCAGAAGGGTATAACTCGAAACGTAAACAATGACTTTGAACGTCGATTTCTCTTGAATGACCACACACCCACGGAATCTGACTAAACTAGCTCATAGAACAAACATTTCTCTGTCAGATGATTTAGTTAGTTTGAGTGGGTTATAGGGGAATTTACGTATTCTCGGCAACCTCTAACAATTTCAGTCGAAAGAATCGTCAAAAACTGTTTTGAAACGCAATTACAAAGCTCCAATCTTCTCTAGTGAGAGCGAGTATTGTCGGCAACCAGTTTTTCTTCGGCAACCGTTCCATTTGAACTGCATGTAAATCTGCTGTTCTATTATCGGCAACTCGAAATCAGCTACAATTTGTAGTGCGTGTGTTGCATTTCAAGAAAACCTTGCTAGATTGCTTTTTCTCAGTGGTAAAAATATAGTCAAATTGAAGCTGAAAGCATAAAAAATCGTTTGCATGCATTCAGCGAAGTGTTTTCGTAAGAAAATCCAGTGAAAATAGTGTTTCAATTTGGGTTGCCGAAAATAGTCTGTCATGCCGAAGCCGTCATTTCCCCTATAGTCATTCGTAAGAAACCGACGATCCAAGTCATTGTTTACGTTTCGAGTTAGACCCTTCTGACATGTTTCCCCTGGATTGATGATTCTACTTGTCAAAATATTAAAAGTATCGCAGCCGGGCCCGCAGTGATGTTAGCCCTTGTCAAGGCAAGGCAAATGAGATAGGGATGCCAGGTACCTGATCGCAGCAGCCTGAGAGATTTGCATGCAAAAGGAAAGCCGAACCAAGTGGAGCGGCCAAGAAGAGAGACATGCTTGTCGGAACGTTTGAAGGATTATCAGCTGGAGCTTTAATTTTCATTTTAAGGGATCGTCATTAATAGAGCTTTTTGACGTTTAATCGGTGCAAGAGGGAAACAGATTACACTGAACCAAATTGTCCATACATCAATGTATGATTATTGCTTCACTTGAGCCCCATACGGATTATTTTTCTATTTGTGAAAGATTATCATTCTCTGATTCAGCTCTCAAAGCACAGAAGAACTGAATAGCATTAATTCTAAAACAGGATGATTTTCGTTCTGCACGCTGTAAACCATTAGCATGATTATCATCCATTCTTAGGAAGACTTGAAATGAACAAACCGTATGATTAACATTGAGATAGATACGGACTCGTCATACAGTTTCAAAATAAATTGTCATGCAACGTTTAAATGAAATATAAGTGCAATCTGAATGAAAAATATATGGAAGCAGAAAGCTTATTTTACTGTTTAAAAATTGTGATCATAACGAAATATATCTCTTCTAAATTGTTGGAACTGTTAATTAATGTTGTAAATGAAACACTTCTGTTTTATAAGCTGAACAATTGTTTTATTCATTTATTTGTTTTATCTACACTAATTGCTGCACTGGGCCGGCCTCGCCCCTGGCGTCCCCATCGAACAGTGGATTCGCCGGTTCGGACTCGTCATTCACGGAATCGAACCCAATCACGTTCTGTAGGAACTTGTGCAATTTAGGATGTTGGCTCGGGTTGTTTGTGGCCTCAAAAAGCAGTTTGAAAATGTTGTCCAAAATCTGCTAAACGAGCTTATCAGCTGGTTGGTCTTGAAGATATCACTGGAAGATAAATTTGTTTTGTTAGAATTTTATTGCTTGAAACCAAGGACCTCCCTCCCAGTAACATACTGAAGTCTAGGAATTTGAATCAACCAGCGGATGTTGTTTTGATTACACGTTTCTGTCGATGGCCACTTGGTCAGTTTGTAAAACTCCACTCGTTCGGCGACGAGTACGAAAGAGGCAGTTCGGCGTTTTGGTACTTGCTTTCCTCAAAGTCGCTGACCACCTCCTCGAGGGGGGGCTGGATCGCGAACAATCCACGGGCACTGAAGCATTCGAATCAAACGGGAACGGAACAAGTAGATATTTTTTTGCCACATGAATCCAAAAACTTTTTTCTCGTTCGCTTTTTGGTGACACTCCGCGTGGTATGCGAAAAAACTGTGTACTGCTATTCGAGAGAGACGCAACAAACTGCGAAAAAATGGTAAGGCCAAAACGTAATGGGAGACTGAAACGATATGAAAATGAATCGTATGACAGTTGTTGTATGATTTTCGTTATGGGGTTCACTTGGATGATTTTAGTTCATTTTTGTTCTTGAATTCATTTATTGTTAATACCTTTCAAAATTTGAACGGTACTTCATTAAGTGGTTGATGTAATTTCCTTTTATGATATGTATGATGAATCATCCCATTTAATGTCAATTATCAGTCAATCGGGTATCTCATATTATTTTCGATGTTAAAGAAATCGGATAGCTCTGAATGATTAATCATGCAATGACGACATGGTAAATTCGCTCAGTGTAGTGGGAAAACAAACCGTTCATTCATCCATGTGTGCTAGATAGAGAAAGACGATTATTATTATGTCACACTGAGGGTTTCGGAAACTGTGACGAGCCTTACAAAAAACAATTAAGGTCCATATAAAAAATGTGACAAAGGAGGAAGGGGGGGTTTTTGAAAATGGGCCAAATTTGCGTGACATAATTAATGGACCTTTCCTAAGGAAATGTTGTAATATGTAGCGACTCCCTGTACCATCATTCCTACCGACACCAACACACAGAGAGCACAGATGCATTGATTCGATGTAAACGTTCTAAATATTCGCTTAAATAAAGAGTTATAAAACGTGGAACACATGTGGTAATTGTAATTGTAATTGTAATGATATTTGACGTCTTCGATAGACTGTTCATCAACACAATGTTGCCATCTTTGTTTGCTGCTTATTCTGTTCTTCAACTGGACCAATAAGAATGCCATACTTTGAAAAGTGAAGAACTATTACAATTTCAACCTAATGATGACCCATTCGGTTTACTGCTGGCATTCGGCTTAATGACCCATCACCCATCAACTATCGCTATTCGGATAACAGTCCCATGCCGTTGTTGAATTTCTATTTACATGGATCTGTTATGCGAACAACTACTGTAAAAGTACCTGCCTTAACCCTATAACGAAGCAATTATTTGACCATCTTCCTAAAACTTTGCATTTATTTTTCAGATGCTGCTTGTAATGCGTCCACCGCTGCCGAGCAACTTCCAGCTGAAGACTCAAAACAAACCAAAGATTCCTTAATATCTACTCCTCACGAGGACGATGCTACCATTTCCGACTGTCCCGTGGCAGTCGTCCCGCAAGAAGCGCTTCCACCGCCGGTGCCAGTGTTCTTCGATGTCCCATCGCCACCACTGACGGAAGAATCCAACGACTGCGGCTCCACCCTGCTGGAACCGATGCTCGATGGCGGCGATTCCAAAGCGAAAGATGGTGATGAACGGCAGCAGCAGCAGCAGCCGGAAGAAGTGGAACACGATGAGCTCGAGAACGAGTTGCGGCTGATGGAGGAAGGAATCGGAATTCAGCCGACGACCGTCTTCCAGGTGCCCAATTTGGAACAGATTGAAACGAGGCACTACCTGGATGTGGTGTGCGATGATGAATCCGTATCGACCACGGACGATGAGAATGAATGTCGCATGATGATCGTGGAAACATCCCCCAGCCGACTGTCGTCGGCTAGTTCCAGTTGTACGTCGATCGGAAGCAACGGCACGCTGATTTCCCCGATCAAGGTGAAGGAAACCAACGAATTGGTCAAAGATCAGTTCAAAACTCCCACTAGTCCTGCCATCAGTAAGCGAAAGCTGAGGGAACGGCTTGAAGCAGGTCATTCGAAACGGGGCCGGCTGTCTCCCACGACGGAATCGTTGCTCGAAGACGATTGGGACCGGAAGTTTACCCGGATAAAGGATTACTTTACGCTGCCGTCGAGTTTGAATCCGATCGAGGATGGCTCGGCGAGGCGACGACAGGTTGAGGAAGAGGATGAGGAGGATTGTTGGGAGTTTTCTCCGGTGGAACAGTTCGATGAGGATGACGAAGAGTGCTTTACGTCCGCTGAGCAGCAGTTCCAGCCACTAACGGTTGAAACGGACGAGGATGAACCCATGATGGCACTCACAGATTCTCCGGAGTCTCCTGTTGAAGGTATTGTGTTCGGAGTGATTCTTGTATCAATATTGGAATGATTAGATTTTGTTCAATTTTCAGAACCACCAGTTTCCTTTGGTAGTAGCAGTTGGGATGATTTCAAGAAGCCTCTAAGCATTGACATCGGCGATCCTTCGTTGGGAACCGACAGCGCTTCTGATTCTCCGGAGTCCCCTGTGTTGAGCGATTCGCCGTTGTCGCCAATGCCTGAATGTCCGAATGTCGTCAGTAGATGCTTCAGTCGTGACGAATCTCCGCTATCTCCGCCGCTCGAAAGCCGACCGTCGATGTACGCGGATTCGTTGGAGCCCAAAATCATTCCGTTGGAAAATCCTCTCGCCAGTCGAACAATGCTGAAAATTGACAACACTCCGATAGGAAAGTCCATTGCCTGGTATAACAACGCAAGACGAGCGGAAGTCTTGCTGAAGATGGCTTCCAATCCACCGAAAAAGGAAGGCCAATTGATCCGGCGAGTGGTCGAGGTAATCGAGGCTTATGTACAGGATGAATGGACGGTGGACAATCTGAACTTGCGTTGTGCACAGCTGCTGGAAGTTTCGGATGATACGCGGATACTCTGCCAAGCCATCGTCGACTGCGTGGTTTCCTATGCGGATCTGCAGGTTGATGTCCAGTGCTCACCTCCGGCACCACCACTGCCACGAACTACCCAGCAACTGGTGCTTTTAGCCAAAACGCTCAACGAAACCCTTTTCACGTTGGATAGGATAATTATGCAGGAAATCGATCGGAGGGTCTTCCAGCTCAAGTCTGACAAAATTAAGCTGGACACAATCACTGCCATGACCTACCTGTACGTGGGAGTGGCCGACTGCAACCGCTTGTATGGTTGCACAGCTAGGATGTATATTTACAAGTGCTTGTATTATTTCAACTTCAAGGGTCTGCCCTTGATTTATTACGTACTGAAAGCTTTTCCTCACGCACTGCCCAAAAAGGCCAGTGTCCATTACGATAATTCCGATGCGATGGTCAGTACCATCCGAACCATTCTGATGAATACGAACTACATAGAACGTATCGCCAACAATCCCGATGCTCATATGTACAAAAAGTGCGAACTGTTAAAACTACTCAAGCACTTCTACGGCTACCAGCAGGGTTGCCCAACGTACGAAGAGCTCATCACTAATTTAATAGAGAAAATCAAGGCCAACAAGCTGAAAAATGTCGACTACTGTCTGATCCTGGTCGCAAAGCGAAAGGGCTACGACTGGGCCAAACAGAATATCGTTCAAAAGCACCTCTACCCGCTCCTCAACGACTACCTCAAGCAGATCGATTCCGAAGGGACTCACGACGAACAGATCTGCTGTCTCATTTTCTCCATTTCGGCCATCCTGAAGACGCAACCGAACTATCAGGACGTGACCGGTGTCATGCAAATCCTCGGCAGTATTGTTCAGAAGACCGACGGCAATCGACGGGTCCAGGAGGCGGCCGTTGCCGGGTTGATGCGATTTACCCGCTTCAACTATGCCGACGTGTACGAGTGGTTGTGCCGATGGTGCCCCAGCTACGAGGTTAGCGGGCGGACAAAGCTGATGCTGGCGACGTTCGTCCACCGGAAGGAGCGTAGCTTCTGGCAGCAGCTCGGTCAGCGGGCGATCGTGTAGTCTGTGATCGGGGTGGGGTGCGGGGCTAGAATGTTTTGTGTAGGATTTGTAAAAAGTTATTTATTTTACAAGTAACCATTTTCGTTCTGTAGCATTAAGCTTTTCGGTTTTCGACTAGATTTGTAAGCAAACGATAGGGAATAACGTGATTGCGCAATCCTCCATTTTTAAGAAACGTCTATAAGCAATCACCCGAGTCGGATAACTTGTACATAGTTACAGAAATAGCCGAAGGGCTAGAAATAAAGGATATCAGCCGAGTTTGTAAATTTGAGAAGTACCTTCGTTTTATTTAAAAAAAAAATCCGATAATTTTGTACTTTTTACGACCAGTTGTAGATTCTTATCTATCAAGATTTGACTTCCCTCCTTCGCAGGTGGACATTGACGAAGAATTGCTCTGCAAATGGCAGCACAGCGTCAGGCCTCTATTTGTGGACTTTATCCAACGGCGGCCGAACAAATTCACCGTCGAAGTGTGGCGCGGAAGCATATCGGGGGCCCACGAGTGCCTCAAAGGGACGGACGTAGTTGTGGGAATCGAAATGTAAGTAATTATCTACTTGAACGCCAACACTGTTTTTTTACTTAAACCCATTTCTCGACAGCATCGAACATCTGCACGCGGACGTGCTGGAAGGCGTTCCCCAGAACGTATTCGGTTACATCCGGCCCAAGGTGGCCATGTTCAGTACACCCAATTCGGAGTACAACATCCACTTCGATGGTCTGTTCGAGAATGGCTTCCGGCACGAGGATCACAAGTTCGAGTGGACACGGGCACAGTTTGCCGAATGGTGCGAAGATATCCTCCGGCGGTTTCCCGACTATGTCGTAAAGTACTTCGGAATTGGGCCGCCTCCAAAGAACTCACCCGACGATGTGGGATACGTCAGTCAGCTTGCCGTGTTCGTGAGGAAAGACTTTCTAGACGAGCTGGAAGTTTTGAACATCGGACAAGACAATGATGCGGGTGGTGCCACAGGAAGCGTTGCAAACCGAACGGAAGCGTCCGGAAGCGCAGAGTCGAAGATCTACTTCGATGAGGAAGTAGGTGAAATTGTCATGGCCAGAGACGAGGACGAAGAAGAGCAACCGGTGGCCCGGCAATCGCCAGTTGGGGTCTTCCGGGATGATGTTGAGGATCTGGAATCACCGGAAGAGGACCTAGAAGGAAGCGACCACGATGAACCCAATGCGAGGATGATCGATTTTTACATTCCGGTAGAACGGGCGCGCAACGATAGCGGGAATTACGACGATGAACCGTTGGATCCCACCAGCGATGAGTACAAGTTGCTGTACAGCGTAGATTACCCGGTTCAGGAACCCGATCGAAGACAAAGGTCGGAAAAACTCCTGGACGATGCTGAATACCAGATTCGACGGTTGAAGTTTCACGAGGAGGATTACTACAACTACGAGCAGAACCAGTACCGGATTCCGCTTCAGCTGGTGGTGGATTGCATGGTGCGGTTGACTTCTACCGTGGAAGAGATGAGGCCCATCCTGGCGGAAGCGTCCTACCGGGTATCGGAGGATGGTATGATTGTCGTGACCGGCAACGATGAGTCGTTCGGAAGTGATGATGATTTCGAGTACGATTTGAACGAGAATGATGACCACGTCGCGCATGAAGCAGCCGAAGATCGATGGGCGAATGAAGAAGAGCAACAGCCAGCACGCGCGAGTGACGATTCTCAGCAGGGTACATCGTTCCAAGAAGACCAAGAGCTGTGGGATTGAGGTGTTGATGTGTGTGCTCTGTGCTATATTTTAATAAAAACCGATTTGAACATCCACCAGAAGGTAAATCTTTGCCCGGTAATAAAAATGCAAATAAAACAAATTAATTTTGACGAATTTTAGACCTTCACATCCCTTACATCGTAACGTATTTACATTTATCTTATGCATAGCTACGAAAATCGTGAAATACCTGGTTAAATTTTCAATGTGCAATTACTCGGTTTCACAATTACGGATTCCGTTAGGCACCATGACGATAGGATGGTTGCCATAATGTATGTTTGTCATAATGGATGTTCAAATCAACAATGACATAATTCACCATTCTTTGTATCATGAGCTGTTATATGAAGACAATATTATTTTGCCTTACCAACAGCAACATGTCTTTGCAAATGAATCAAAATACATTTCGACAGTGAGCATGCATAAGGGCGTAAACACGATGATCGATTCTCTTCGTCGATTTTCTCTTTTGTTAATAACTCGCTAAAATTAACGTTTCTCGGTGCGTTTGCTGTTGCTTTTGATACACAACTCTGTATTGAACAAATTCTAGAAAATTGTTTCGCTTAGCTGTAGCAATGCAAAGAGAAAATCGATTAAGAGAATCGATCATCGCATATAATACGCCCTTATGCATGCTCACTGTCGAATTTGTGATTTCTTTTTTCCCTTGATTTGTTTTCCGTCGATCTTGTTTTCCGTGCTAAGCACCAATGCTACCGACGTCAGGGAGGCAGCTCCCTGGACCCTACCTATCGACCCATCAAACTCATGAACCGGGGACCAACGGCTTTACTTCGTTCAGCGTGATCAGAGATGTTATGACTCAGAACATCGCGGCGGCGCCGACTGGGATTGAACCCAGACCTGCTGGGGTGAGAGGCAATCACGCTTACCACTACACCACCGGCGCCGCTGATTTGTGATTAAAGCACAATTCCAAGGCTGTGGAGTCGGATTCGGATGCATTTTTAAGCAAAAGGAGACGATGTCGGATAAAAAGTACTGACTCTGACGAAGTCGCTCGCGGAGCATCCAACGCGGGGAAAATCCCGGTGATGGAACCTCAAGAAGTGGCGTACCTATTTCAAATAGATACGCCACTCTCCCCACCGATGAAGTATACAGCCAGCCGGCTGCGAAGGAAAAACGCAGCAAAAAGAGAAGGAAGAACCGCCAATCCGATGGTGCGAATGGTCAAGATGATGTTGCCGCGACGAACGTCATCGACTTCGGCGACGCTGCCGAAAATATCAATGCAGCAAAAGTGAAGCTTCCGCCGTTGGTGGTGAAAAATGTTCACTTCAACGAACTCATTGCTGAACTGGCGGCTCTGGGTGTGAAAGCGGAATACAGCCATCCGTTCAATCAACTCGATCATCGTTCGATGGGAGCCATATCGTGGCGGCCATCGCGATGTGACCCAGTGTCAGCGCTGTCTGAACTTCGGACACTGCACCCGTAACTGCCACATCAAACTGCGTTGTGGAAAATGTGCCCAAAATCACGTCACCACCGAATGTGCGGACGAAGCTGCGGTGGTCAAATGCGTCAACTGTGGAGGAGCGCATCAAAGAAACAACAGGCAGTGCATCAAACGCGAAGAATTCAAGCGGATCCGAAATCAGGCGTCTGTAAACAATAAACCAGGACGAAGGAAGGAGAAGGCACCGTCCTTTGGACCGGAAGATTTTCCGCCATTCCGCCCAATGAAACAGGGTCCTGCAAATCCGTGGACCCGATTCGCCCCCTCTCAAGAACCCCATAGCGCTTCTGCTGGACAAAGCTCTCCATCCCCCCTGGATTCCGGAGTCAACCAACAGCACAAGCCAACAATCCTGATCTGTTCACAGCCGATGATTTCCTTCGAAAGCACAACATCGACGTGGGGCTCCTTACTGAGACTCACCTTAAGTCCAGCGATAGCTTCTGGTTGCCTGACCACACCATCAAACGGCTTGATCGCACAAACTCCAGGGGGGGGGGGGGGGGGTGTTGCGGTCGTCTTCAAAAAAGGGATCAAGTTCGTCACTCTTCCCCACATCCGCACCTCTATCATCGAAGCTCTCAGTGTCGAGGTGGAATCACCAACCGGAATCGTCGAGACTTGGCGGAACTACCAGCGGAACCCGAACGGTCGTTTGCTGTTTGATCACTTGAATCAACCTTCATCTCTCCGGCGGGAAACCCTTCCACGATGGACTTCTTCCTGACGAACATCGGTATATCTAAACCGGTGGCACACAACGACCTTAGCTCAGACCACCAACCGGTGGTGGCTGAAGTCGGCATCAGAGTGACTGCTGCTCCAAGTCACCAACGAAAGGGTTACCATCACGTAAACTGGGTCCAGTTCGGACGTGTGGTCGACAGAAACATCGACGAAAATCCGCCGCTTGACACCGTAGTTGACCTCGACCGGGCGCTGCAAGTCCTTCATCAGGCTGACGAGGCATGTGTCCGTCAAGTTCCTGTGAGGGGTAAGTTTACTACCATTGATTCCAAAACCCAAATGATGATTCGCCTGAGAAATATTCGTAGACGCCAGTTTCAGAGGACTGGAGATGTGGACAAAAAACGTGAAACGGCCGATCTGAACAGGCAGATTGCTTTCAGAATGGACTCACTCCGAAACGAAAGTTTTGGACGTGTTGTCCAAAATCTGGATGACCGTTCACGTCCATTTTGGAAGGTAGCCAAGGTTCTGAAGTCTCATCCCAAACCTCTTCCACCTCAAAGACTCGAAATTGATGACGATCGGCTCCTAACACCGAAGGAGAAAGCAAATGCGATTGGTGATCATATTGCTGCATCGCACTTGCTTGGCTCCAATATCCAAAGTCCGCTCGAAAATCAGGTGACGTAATGCGTCCACAATTTAGATGCCTCCCCTTGTGTCGTCCCCCCGGAGGATAAAATCACGGTAGAACAGATTTGCTCAGCGCTAAAATATTTAAAGAATATGAAGGCCCCCGGCTTTGACGGCATTTGCAACCTTATTCTAAAGAGGCTTAGCACGAAAGTGTACAAGCTTTTGACCGCTATCTTCAACAGATGCTTGGAACTGCACTATTTTCCAAGCATCTGGAAGATGGCGAAAATTATACCAATTCAAAAACCGGGTAAAGATCCAACATTGCCGTCTAGCTACAGACCGATCAGCGTCATTTCAGCGCTGAGCAAATTGTTTGAGAAACTCATTCTAAACCGTTTGCTCAAGACTGTCGAGGAAAGCAATATTCTCCTACCGGAACAGTTTGGTTTCAGAAAGGGGCATTCCATAACGCACCAGCTACCCGAGCAAAGTTAGAGATCAAATTGAAATCAAAATTTGCTGTTATGATGTAACTTATTTTGAATACTCCATTTGATCTCATTTTGGTTGACTTAACGGTTAACACAGCAAAAATGAGAGCACAATTTTACACTGTTGAATCAAACGGAAAACTAATTCTGCTTTCAATGAAAATTTAATCAATTTGATGACTGATTTTGCATTCATAATGTTTAACTGAATACGGGCCTGTCGTAAATGGTTAGCATCCATGCTTCTCACGCTGAAAGATTTGAGCTCAAATGTCACCTCGGGCTAGTCACGAATGACCTAAAATGTGTTAAACAAAACAAATAAACAATAATCGTTAGTTCAACGACAGATGAACATAAATCAAATTTTAAACAAGAAATTATTAACAGCAGAACTTCAAGTTATGTTGCTTTGATTTAAAAAGTCTTGACTGCATAATGAAAGCAAAATATGATACCTATCAGACTTCTGTCGCGACAATTGAAATCAAAATGAGTTTTCATTATGATAGGAACTGCAAACATTAATATTGATTTGCTTTCATTTTGTTAACCAACTTTGCTCGGGTGTATCAATGCAAAGAGAAAATCGATTAAGAGAATCGATCATCGCGTATACGCCCTTATGCATGCTCACTGTCGATTTGTGATTTCCAAGGCTGTGGAGTCGGATTCGGATGCATTTTCAAGCAGGAGTCGATGTCGGATAAAAAGTACCGACTCCGATTGGCAAATCAAAGTTGCCACTCGTGGAGAATAGACGAACTATGAAAGTGATGATGGTTTCAAAATTTTCCACGGACAGGTATACGAGTGCAATCTTAAAATGCTTTTATTTTGAAAACTGAGCATTGAATTTAAATCTGGTTGTTACTACAGTTGTAGAAAAGCTGAAATCTATGCATACACCTAAAAATCTGAAAAGAAATTATTTTTTCTATATTATATATCTATTGAGTAGTCCTTAAGTTTTCTACTAACGTAGCACTAACCAGATTTAAATAAAATGCTCCATTTGCAAAATAAAGGCATTTTAAGATTGAACTCGTATACCTCACCGTGTAAAATTTTGAAACCATCATTACTTTCATAGTTCATCTATTCTCCACGAGTGTCAACTTTGATTTGCCAATTGTTATGAGAAATAATTTTAAACTAGACCGTCCCAAAAGTTGTAACACGTGCAATTTTTTGGCTCATTTTATTATTGCAATTATTTAACCTTTTATTTTGTGAGATTCGCTTTGGCATGATGAAATATTGTAAATATTGGCAATTAATGTGATTTTTGAGCAACAAGGGTGTGAGACAAGAGTATTAGACTCTATATGAAATCAAATGAAATTATTCGGATTTGTAAATAACGTCGCTATATGCCTTAAATTAGGACATACAAAACGTCAGTCCCACATAGTGCTCTCTTGTCGGATCTACCGTGTGGTGCTCATTCACCCCACAGTTTAGAGGAAAATCAAGTTCACATCGTTAGTCAAATTACTTTTCATAAATATATTGAGCATATTTTTGCACTAGCTTGATTATCATTATCATAAGATTGTGAATAAAATATCCAAAACAATGCTTTGCATATTTTGATACATATTTGTGGATGTAACCAGAGGTCCCATGCACCGCTCATTATTATTATTATTATTATTATTATTATTATTATTATCTCTATTTAGGAGATTTTCATGCACCGCTCATGTCATAGTGGAACTTTTTTTTTCCTTGATTTGTTTTCCGTCGATCTTGTT